CATATCTATCGCGTCATCTGGGGCAAAAAGATACAATGCAGCTGCTGCGCCCACCCCGCCCGGGCCCCCATTGCAAAACCGATCGCGCCCACTCTTCCGCAGCGCTGGTGGCAACCGTCTGCGCCCATGCCCATTTGCGCTGTTTGATAGTCGTGGTCCAAGTCAGCAATGCCAAGTTTTGATATCGTGGTTCCCGCATGCAGAGTTGCTCGCTTGATCCAGTCTGGCCAAGGCTCGAGCGGGTCGGCATCCTCGAGGTCGTCTGCTGCTGGCGCTGCGGATGGTGGTCCACTTTCAACATCTCCCCCGCCGTCGGTGCCGGAACTGTTGGGGCCCTCGTCGTCCTCGTCGCTGGCGTTGTTACCGCTGGTGTCGTCCTGTTCGTGCTCTTGCTCGCGGCTGCCTGCTAACCTTCGTCGAGGTGTCCTGACGATCATCCGGAGCATTTGTCGCTGCGCCCTTCGCATCCTACTCTCGAGCTCCTTTGTCATCACCCATGCCCCACATCCACACAGCACAGTGGGAGTAATTGCCCCGTGGAAAAGCCAAATACGGTTGTTTAGTGAGTAGTGTGTTCCAGTTAGTTCCTGCTTGAGCAGATGACATTTCCTCCATGCAGAAGCAATCCGGTTCTCCACTTCCGCGTTGTGGCTGTCGCTGCATTGAAGCTTGCGTTCCAAATAATTTGTAGCTCGGTAAGGTGGGAGCACTTATGTTTTCATGCCGTGGAGGAAAACGTGGGTCTACGGTTGTTGCGTTCGCTTTGGTCTGTGCCCGTTATGCAAGATTTTCGTTTTGTCTTGGTGTAGTAGTAGCCCGGCGTCTGCCGCTCCGGTGATGACGTCGGAAAGCATATTTCCAATGTCGTTGTGTGATTGTGCGATGTGGAGGATGTCGTCGGCAAATCGTAAACTGTTCATTAGGTCGTCGCTGTTGGGGAGTAGTGGGATCCCGCGTCCCTTGGCACTCATTTTTTCTTCACCCGTCTCATAATATGCTCTGGAACGCAGTTGAAGGGCGCTCAACTTAATGGATCTCCCTGTTCTGTTCCACGTTCAATGTTGAATTCCTTGCTGAAGCGGTCGGTCTTGACAGAGGGCGTCTGAAACTTCCGGAGCAGGGTTATATATGGAACTGGCACCTGCTGGTCTTCTAAGGCTTTCCATATGGCCTCGTGCGCGACGCTGTCAAATGCTTTCCTGGAGCCGATTGCCGCCATCCAGAGAGGTATGTGCCATTCGTCCGATATCTCGATCAGAACAGCCGTTGTGAATAAATGGTCGGTTGTGCTCCTGTTGGGTCGGAAGCCAGCTTGACCTGGGCTCTGCTGACAGTCTAGCTGAACACACAAACGGTTGGACAAGAGCTTGGAGAAGAGTTTGTAGTGCACCGGGGTCGTCGCGATAGGTCGGTAATTTTCTGGCCGCATCGGGTCACTGCTTTTGTGCAATACTTTGATGACAGTGTGCTTCCAGCTGGAGGGCGCGGGGGAATCAGGCCGTAGTACGTGGTTGAACGTGTCTAGCATGACTCTCTTGAGTGCGTCCCCTCCTGCCTTTAGCATCTCTGCCAGTATGCCGTTGGTGCATGGTGCCCAGTTTGTCCTCAACTGACGAAGTGCGACACTTAGTTCGGTGTTCGTGAAGACGTGGATCTGTTGAACTTCGTTCTGCCCGTGGTGTTGCTGGGCGCCCCTCTGCGCGTCTCGGTATAAGCCCGCATAAAATTAACGAATACGTCTGCTATGGTCTGTCTGTCGCGTTGCGCGTGACCTTTAACATCGGCCATCCCCGGGATCATGTCACGTTTTGGGGGACTCTTGATGCCGCTGATTCTTTTGAGGTCCCGGTATTGATTGAGGATTCGGTCGATTGCGGCTCTGCGAGTGGCTCGTTTGATAGATCTAATTTCTTTGCGGATTTCCTTGTTGAGGGGCGTTCGTGCTGTAGTGTCGGTGGTCGCTGTGTCCCGTCTGCTTCGCAGTAGTTGTGCAAGTGAGCTGCTCCTTGTCGTTGGTGTCGTGGTGTACTCGGTGGTGCTGGTGCTATTGGAATGCCCCGATAATGTTCCAGCTATGGTAGTTCCGATGCTTTGGCACTTGAGCTGGAGCTGGGCGTCGAGCAGCAGTGCGTCCAGCCGTTCTGCGAGAGACTCCTGGTAGGTAGGGGTTCCGTCTGGTGGCCATGTGAGACGTTCGGTTCGTCGCTTCGCCCGTTGTCCGTGCAAGTGTGGCGTGCTCCCTGGTCGTGTCCTGCGTTGTCGTTGCTGTCCAGGTACTCGGAACATGAAACGTAATGCTTTGTGGTCCGATCCAAGATCGATGTCTGAAATCGCCTCGCAATCGGTGGCTGCTCTCAATACGTGTTTGCTGGCCAAAATGAAGTCGATCTGATGTTGTTGTTTTTGGGGCGATGTGTACGCAGTCAAGCTGTGCGCGCTTATAAAGGAACGTGTTCATGATTCATGATGTGGGGCTTCTCTTTGGCCGCCAATTTTTTTAGCCACTGTCCTCGCACGTTCACGCTGCCGACTCCATATTGGCCCAGAGTGCGCCGGTCGTCTTCCGGAGCTCGCTGTCCCACCCGTGCGTTGCAGTCTGCGCCAATGACGCATGATAACTGATTCGTTCTGGCATGCCAGTGAGTTTCTGCGAGGATGTTGTACATTGTCCGGATGCTTTTGTCGCTGTACCCGCTGCGTGGAAAGTAAGCTGATACGATGCGCAACCGCAAATCCAAAGAAACCACATCCACGTAACATACCCTGTCGTTGACTGGTTGAAAACATCGGATAGAGTGGGCCCACCGTTTGTGTACGAGAATGGCGACTCCACAATGTGACCCATCGCATCCAGATCCTAAAAACATGTGTCCATCTGCTGTGGACCAGTGTTCTTCCTTTTCCTGGCGCCAGGACTCATTGATCGTTAAGGAATCCCAGCGTATATCTTGGAATTCTTGCAACAGTTCTTCTACTCGGTTTGCTGAAATAAGTCCGCGAACATTTTTATGGTATAGTGTAAGTGCGGTCTCTGGCGCCACGTCCGTGCTGGAGTCGAGAACCTGAGGGGAGAGATGCCCGCTTGAGGGTCGACGGTTTGAGGTGAATGCGGATGGATGCTGAGAGTCGGAACTTCGTGGTTGGACGTCGCTTGGTGGAGGTTGGGAGTCAAAAGGTGGAAGTCGAAGGCTAAAGGTGAATGCCGGTGGGCGCTGAGAGTCGGAATCTGGCAGTTGGAGGTCGACTGGTTGAGGCTGGGAGTCGGCGGGTGGAGGTCGAAAACTGGAGGTGCACGAAGGTGGAAACTGGAAGTCGGAACTTCGTGGTTGGAGGTCGCTTGGTGGAGGTTGGGGGTCAGAAGGGGGTCGAAGGCTTGAAGTGGAAGGTGCTGGGTGCTGGGAGTCGGTCGCTGGTGGTTGGAAGTCGACTGGTTGAACTTGCGAGTCGGTGGGTGGAGGTCGAAGGCTGGAGGTGCGTGGTACTAGGTGCTGGGAGTCGGTCGCTGGTGGTTGGAAGTCGACTGGTTGAATTTGCGAGTCGGTGGGTGGAGGTCGAAGGCTGGAGGTGCGTGGTACTAGGTGCTGGGAGTCGGACGCTGGTGGTTGGAAGTCGACTGGTTGAATTTGCGAGTCGGTGGGTGGAGGTCGAAGGCTGGAGGTGCGTGGTACTAGGTGCTGGGAGTCGGACGCTGGTGGTTGGAGGTCGACTGGTAGAACTTGCGAGTCGGCGGGTGGAAGTCGAAGGCAGGTGCTAGGTGCTGGGAGTCGGACGCTGATGGTTGGAAGTCGACTGGTAGAACTTGCGACTCGGTGGGCGGAGGTCGAAGGCTGGAGGTGGATGGTGGCGAGTGTTTGGGGTCGGAGCTTTGAGGCCGGAGGTCGATAGGTGGAGGTCGAAAAGGAGAGTCGGACATTGGAGGTTGCAGGTCAGAGTGAGGAGCCGCTGAAGGCTGAAGGTCGATAGTTGGAAGCGAAGCCTGATCGTCAAATACTGGAGGCTGCGAGCCAGAAGGTCGAGCCAGAGTCGGAGAGGCTGGAGTCGGAGAAATCGTCGCACGGTGTTGGTATGCGCCGCCACACCCTGGTCCCGGTGACTGAGATTCAAGCCTCTGCCATTGTCCAGATACTCTGCTGATCCCAGCTCTCGATTCCGTCATTCACCTCAGCGTAGACCATCGGGGTGCACCTGCACGGTAACTGCTGCAAAACGCGCTGGTACCATTGTGCCAGCAAGTGCACCGTGGACCTGTCGTTTCGGAACAGTCAGGCATGGCGGGGCCGCGGCGGGAAGCACAGGACAATGGCCGCCAGGGCGCGGCCCGCCGCTCCAGGTGGGCTCGCCCATGTCTGGCACACGTGCTGCTCCTTGACTTCAGCCCTGGATATTGTGGCGCACCGCGTGGGTTTGTTGGTGTGCTCGCCTGCGCCCGTCCCCGCCCCTGGCACCCGTCTCTTGCCAGTCCTCCTCTGCGGCACTTCGTCGACCCTCCGATGGGAGGCCCGTGTTCCTGCCAGCATAGCTGCGTCCATGCTGCTGCAGCTCACTGCAATCTCCTGCATCCTCAGCCCTGTCAGGGGGCCACAGGCGAACCCTACCCCTACCCCCCACGATTTCTGAGGGGGAGGGTGGGGTAGGGTTCGCATCTGGCCCCCCACCTGTACTGAACATCGGGTTGAAGCCCAACACCCGCAAGACCCACTGGCCCACGGGTCGCGCCATCGCGAGTCCTGCGCGGCGCTGCGGCGGGTGACCTCCCCCCGCGTGCCGGCCGCCCCTCGCGCTCCTCGCGCCAGAGCGGCGGCTAGGAGGAGGAGGAGGAGGAGGAGGAGGAGGAGGAAATGGAGGAGGAAATGGAGGAGGAGGAGGAGGATGAGGACGAGGAGGAGGAGGAGAGGAGGAGGACGAGGAGGAGGAGGAGGAGGAGGAGGAGGAGGGCGACGACCACGAGACGCTGCAGGAGCATCCCCCTCCCACCCCGCCCGCGCGCGCGCGCTCAAATCCTCCAGGCTACCGCCCACGAAGATGGCCTCGTGGAACTGCTGCCTCCTGTGGCAGCGACCCCCCCCCCAGACGTCCCTCCTCCCTCCTGTCTCCTCCTGCTCCTGCAGCTTCCACCGCGCCTCCCGCCTCCTCCTCCTCCTCCTGCCCTTCCTCCTCCTGCCCTTCCTCCTCCTCCTCCTCCTCATCATCATCATCATCATCATCATCATCACCACCACCCTCATTCCCCTCCTCTCCCGTCCGCTTCCATCATCAACATCATCATCACGATCATAGTCACCAACACCATCACCACCCATCATCATCACCTCAGCCGATGACTCCATTATCGTAATCACCAACAGCATCATAAGCATCAGCATCATCATCATCATCAGCATCATCATCATCATCACCACCATCCTCGTCATCATCAGCATCACGATCATCCTCATCATCATCAGCTGCAGCAGCAGCTGCATCAGCATCATCATCATCATCATCATCATCATCATCATACTCGCCATCATCATCACCAACGCCACCAAACACATAATCCTCATCATCAGCATCGGACACAACATCATCACCATCAGCAACAACATCATCATAAGCATCGCCGTTACCATCACCATCATCATCAGCAGCATCAGTATCAGTATCATCATCATCGTGATCAGTATCATCATCATCATCATCATCATCATCATCATCATCATCATCATCAGCACCAGCATCACCCACCATGATCACCACGACGGTAACATGCCTTTCTGTCACCATCATCATACAACTCATGATGGTCATGATCATGATCATGGTGCCCACCACCATTAGCAACATCATCATCATCATCATCATCATCATCATCATCATCATCAGCAACATCACTATCATCAGCATCATCATCGTCATCAGCATTGCCATCATCAGTTCCACAACCGCCACCATGACCATCATCATTAGCAGCAGCATTTTCATCATCATCATCGTCGTCACCGTCGTCAGCATCGTCAGCAGTATCGTCATCATCAGCGCCATCATCAGCAGCAGTATCGTCAGCATCCTCATTATCAGCATCATCATCAAGATACTAATCGGTATCATCAGCATCATCACCGTCGTCGTCGTCGTCGTCGTCGTCGTCGTCGTCGTCGTCGTCGTCGTTATCATCATCGTCATCATCAGCAGCAGCATAATCATCATCATCAGCATCATCATCATCACCATTATCATCATCATCCGCAACATCATCATCGGCACCTGGACCCGAGAGATCCCCAAGAGGAGCCAAGAGGCCCCTCCGAAGCACCCCAGACGCTCTACGAGGCCTCCGAAACCGCCAAGACGATCCCCATCCCTCCAAGAAGCTCCCGAGGGACCTAAAGAGACTCCCAGCCTCTGCCTGTTTACACTTCCCTGCCATCGTGGTCAGGGCCACTCGGCATCGTTGCTAGACGGGCTGGTGGGGATACTTTTTGGTCGCGGCCGCGAGACAAAGGTCAGGCAGCAAGAAGGCTGGTGGGGATACTTTTTTTGGTTAGCGGCTCCAAAGCGACGGCCAGGGAGCGGGAGCGACGTCCGGGGCGGCGGAACGGTGCGAATTTGCGAACGCGGCCGACAGTGTCGGCGGGCCAAAGACGGCCAAAAGGGGTCCAAGACAGCCCCAAGATGGGCCCAAGACAGCCTAAGAAAACGCCCAGAGCGCCCTAAGACAGCCCAAGAGGGACCCAAGATAGCCCACGAATGCCTCAGGACGGCCTAAGGGGCCCCAAGACGGCCCAAGACAAACGAAGAGGGCGCCAAGACGGCCCTCGCGGGCGCTCAGACGCCCCCAAGCCCGCCAAGAGACGCCCCAGAGGGCCCCAAGACGCCCAAAAGGGCTCCAAGAAGCCACCAAACCTTACTTCGTGATTCTGGTGGCTCACCAAGCCAACCCCTTCCGAGAATCCTCCAAGACGGCCCAAGAGACTCCCTGAAGGCGGGCCAAAAGAGCCTCGGAACGGCCCACGAAGCTCCACAACGACACGCCAAGACAGCCCCACAAGCGATTGTGGATGATTTGGAACACATGTTGGGCCGATTCGGAAACAATTTTAGGACGAATGTGAGACGCTTTTAAAACGGTGTTCGGACGATGTTGGGACGATGTTTGGGCGGTTCTGCTGTTCCGCGCTCGTCTTCTTTCATAATGTAGTGAAGCTTTTCACCACTAGTCGGAACATAGGTCGGACGGCCCCAAGAACACCCAACATTGCGCATAGATCACTACGCGTTTCTTCAGAAGGGTTCGGCGGATGTGGCGCCAGCCTGAAGAATAACAATAATAATAATAATCATCGTCATCATCATCATCATCATCATCATCAGGATCAGCATCAGCATCAGCATCATCATCATCACCACCACCACCATCATCATCATCATCATCATCATCATCATCATCATCATCATTATCAGCATCATCATCAGCATCATCATCATTATCAGCATATAAACATGATCATCATCATCACCACCACCAACATCATCACCATCGTCATCATCATCATCACCATCATCAGCATCATCATAATCAGCATCATCATCGTCATCAGGATCAGCATCAGCATCAGCATCATCATCATCACCACCACCACCACCACCATCATCATCGTCATCATCATCATCATCATCATCATCATCATCATCATCATCATCATCATCATCATCATCATCATCATCATCATCATTATCAGCATCATCATCAGCATCATCATCATTATCAGCATATAAACATGAGCATCATCATCACCACCACCAACATCATCACCATCGTCATCATCATCATCACCATCATCAGCATCATCATAATCAGCATCATCGTAATCATCTTCATCAGCATCGTCATCGCCATCATCACGATCACCAGGACCATCACCACCAACATACTCACCATATCATCTACATCACCACCGCGGCAGGCACCATCATCATCATCATCATCGTCATCCGTGATCATGGTTATCGTCATCATCATCATCATCATCATCATCAGCATCAGCATCAGCATCATCGACATCGCCACCAACACTACCATCACTATGAACACTTTCGACATCACCACCATCATCACCATCACCCTTTCCACCACCATCATCATCAGCAGTAGCATCAGCATCAGCATCAGTACCATCATCATTCATCAGCAGCAGCAGAAGCGTAATCACAATCATCAGCATCATCATCATCATCATAGCCATCATCATCAGCATCGTCGTCATCATCAGCATCATCATAATTATCCTCCTCCTCATCATCATCATCCTCTTCTTCTCAATCCCCCTCCACTCTCCTCATCCTTCCTCCTCCTCCTCCTCCTCCTCCTCTTCCTCCTCCTCCTCCTCCCTCCTCCTCGACCTCAGCCTCTTTCTTTTCCTCCTCCTTCTCCTGCTCCTCCTTCATCCCTCTTCTCGAGGAGTGGCTGTCTGCTATTGCAGCTCCCTTCGTAGACCTCCGGCGACTCCACAAGTCCGCATCGCGCTGGAAGGATCTGGGCTCAAGGATCGAGGATCGAGGATCGAGGTCGTTGGACGCGTGTGGGCCTATCTGGGCCTCCGGGAGGCTCCTCGTCGTCACAGCTGGATTCGCTTCGAATCTCTGGCCAGAGTGCAAGCTGAGAGAGGTCCGAGGCTCGCTCGGGAGATCCTGCATCCACACGCATGGCGAGTCTCGTGCCGGATGTTTGCTGTCATGCCACTTCCTTCCAGGGTCAAAGGGTCAGTTCAACGTCCAGGGGCCGTCGCAAAACAACTCATGAAGCGACGCAGCTGGGGGAGGAGGACCCTCAGATCCGACGCAGCGGAAAAGTGCATGTCGAAAAATCACGTACAGAACACCAAACCCTATCTTTCTGCGCCGGCTCTCGAGCCAGATCAATCTGCGAGGGTCCCGGGGCGAGAAACTGGGCGAACACGCCCAGCCCGAAAAAGTGGAGTCCCCAGGAGCTCAGGGAAGGACCAGTAGGAGGAGGAGGAGGAGGAGGAGGAGGAGGAGGAGGAGGAGGAGGCGAGGAGGAGGAGGAGAGGAGGAGCAGGAGGAGGAGGAGGAGGAGGAGGAGGAGGCGAGGAGGAGGAGGAGAGGGAGGAGGAGGAGGGAGAGGAGGAGGAGAAGGAGGAGGAGGAGGGAGGCATGAGGGAGTAGGGAGGAGGAGGAGGAGGAGGAGGAGAAGGAGGAGGAGGAGGAGGAGGAGAAAGAGGAAGAAGACGGAGGGCGCGGAGCAGGGGGAGGAGGAGGAGGCGCAACTGATGGCGGCAGGAGCGGCGGGGCGTCTGCCTCTAAGAGGCTGCAGTGCCTGGGTTCTTCGTCGTCGGCAGGCGAGGGCGCATCCTGCCCCACGCTTGTCCTCCATCCTCCTCCTCCTCCTCCTCCTCCTCCCTCCTCCTCCTCCTCCTCCTCCTCCTCCTCCTCCTCCCTCCCCCCTCCTCCCCTCCCCTCCTCCTCCTCCTCCGTTGAATTTTGGTGCAGGGACCCAGATTTGTCTCTGCAAGAGGCCTTCGAAGGCCAAGTCTACACCGACGGCAGTTGTGACAATTCACTTCACCCAGCCTACCGTGCGGCTGGATTCTCTGTTGTTTCCCTGCGTGAGGACGAACCTTTCGCCATCCTCACGGGTCAAGTGGGGCAGCAGTTTCGACAGACATCAGGAGCTGCAGAGCAGCTTGCGATTCTCTTAGCTTGTCACGCCTCGCCGTTGATTACCCATGTGCACACGGATTATAAAGCCGCTATAGACCTCCATCTGGCTCCACGCTTTCCTCGCAGGTCATCAATGAGCGGCTTCAAGGTCTTGGCAGGCGCGTGCCGCGTCCGCCCTAGCAGTTGTCTATGCAAGGTTAAAGGCCACCAGAATCTAGAAGCCGAGTTTTCCTCCCCAGAAGAACGGACCCATGCCCTCGGGAACGACGCTGCCGACAAGGCAGCCAAGCAGGCGGCCCAGAAGTTGGCCCAGCCCAGCAGGTCCGAGGTGGAATCCCATGCTTTTCAAACCCGTTTGCTCGGCCGATTTTTGCGTTACCTGGCTAGAATCCTCCCTATGTGGCCAGCCTTGGCTCCTAAGAGAGGCAAGAAGGGCCTCGAGGCTCCCACGAGTACCAACCCCCCCATCGGAGCCGCGTCCGCTCCTCATGTCTGGGACCCTGGGGCCGCCCCTCCGCCTCCCTTGCCTCCTCCTCTGCCTGTGGTTGTGTCGGAGGCTGCGGACGCGACTCACAACTGGGAATATATAAGGGGTAAATGGTTATGCACCGTTTGCCGAGTGACGGCGAAGTCTAGCCAACATCAGATTGCCCGTCAGAATGAGAAGTGCCCAGGGCATTGTGCTGCAATGGCTAAGCTGGCCCAGGACCCGAAAAGGCACAATCTCCTATGGTTAGAATATGTAGACAATTCGTCCACCCTGATTATCTGTAAAGATTGCGGCTCTTATATGGAGCAAGGCAGGGGGTTAAATTCGGAGTGTTTACGTCGAGGGCCACAGAGTACAGGTGCCGCCGACCGTCTTTCTAAGGTTCTCAGTCTCAGACACCCGAAAGGGGGGAAGAATTCGCCTGTCGTTTTCAAACCCCCTGTCCCCCTGGCCCAATTTTACCGCCAGACTCTCAGGGATCTGGCAGCAGCTTCAAGCTCTGCTGCGGGGGCTGCTTCAACCTCCTGAAGAGCTCGGAGGCCTAGGCCTCTGTCTCCGCGCTGGGGCGCGGTGGATCTCAGACATCATCCCAAGCCGTGCGTTGTCCTCCTCCTCCTCCTCCTCCTCCCTCCTCCTCCTCCTCCTCCTCCTCCTCCTCCCTCCTCCCCCTCCCCCTCCCCCCCTCCTCCTCCTCCTCCGCCCCCTTCCTCTTCTCCTCCTGCTCCTGCTCCTGCTCCTCCTCCTGCTCCTGCTCCTGCTCCTGCTCTGCTGCTCCTGCTCCTGCTCCTGCTCTGCTCCTGCTCCTCCTCCTCCTCCTCCTCCTCCTCTCCTCCTCCCCTCCTCCTCCTCCTCCTCCTCCTCCTCCTCCCCTCCAGCTTATGGTGGTGGTGGTGGTGGTGGTGGAAAACAAGCCAATCACACGTGGACCCCCCCAGGGCGTCCAGTTCTCTGTGCCAGCAAAGAAGTTGTCCGGGTTCTTCATGAACTGGTGCAGGATCTTGCCCGCCAGGCCTCGGGGCGGCAAGGGATGAAGAGCAGCAGCGACCGCGGGGGGCACAGGCGACCCCGATCCCATGCCTGCTTCGAGGGCCCTGGACTGGGCCAACATCTGTCGGGAAACAAATGACGACACAAACATTCGGAGGTCTTCGCGGATTTTTGGATCGGCGGCGACGGCGGCGCCGCCAGGGGGCTCCAGCTCCGATCCAAGGGATCGGATGGGACCTCGGGGGGTGGGGGTGAGAAATCTGCCGACCCTGTCGGCGCGTGTGAAGGGCGTGTCCGTTCGAGTCGTCCTCTTCGTCATTCGTGAGTCGTCGCCTCTGCCGGCTCCTTTCCCTACGGCCCTCACTTCCCTGGGCCCGCCGCCGCTCCCCCCCCCTTTCCTGAGCTCTCTTCCCCAAGCGCGCCAAGCACAGCGAAACTGAGCGACGTCGCAACTCGATCGAAGGGGAGCCTCCTCCCCCCCGCCGCTGGGGGCAGGGGGCCCCGCGAAGGGCCCCGCCCCCCCGTCGGGGGGGGGGGGGGGGGTCCCCGGGGGAGACACGGCTCTCGGCCCCGTGGGGGGGTCGCCGCCCGGATACTGGGGAAGCCAAGAGGCATACCGGTGCCGCTGCTCTCCGGACCTCTCCTGGGGTGCGTGCTGACCCAGATTTTCTGACTACCTACCAGACCACCCCAACCCAACCCGAAGACCCGAATTTCGGGTTGGGGGGGGTAAGGGTTCCACATGTGTTTTTTCAGTGTTTCCCAACCCCCCCCCCACTGGAAATCGAGGGTACATCTGAGCCTTCGGGTTGGGTTGGGGTGGTTTGGTGGGTGGTGAATTTCGAGAGGCGAAGCCAGCGGTGGCGACGAGGACTTCCCAGGAGGCCCCAACAGGGGACAAAACGAAAGAGGGGTATAGAGGTATGGGTACCTTTCCCTTCTCTGAGATGCGCATCCCTCCCGGGGGGTCCAGGGTCCCCAGAAAAGGCCCCGGGACGGGCCGAGAGTGCCCGGGGAGGCCCCCAAGACGGCCCGAGAAGGATATTCATGCACTGTACGTCCCCAGGGACGTACGATAAAATCTGTCACATCATGGCCCAGCCCTGACTACCCTCGTTTGAATCCTAGTGACATCACACACCCTCCCCAGGTCTTCACAGCAAAATTCAACCGACCAGTTACTTATTAGCGCATCCACTCCTGACCCTTGCGCTCCAGCGGGCCTGACTGCTGGATATCGCCCAAGACCTTGACGGTCAATATGCAACAGTCCTGTGATCAACACTGCAATAAAGGAACGCACCATTGAATGCAGCAAGCAAGCACGAACTCAGAATGTGAAAGAGACGTGTTTGTGCAGGCGTGGGGCGCTGAACGCGCGAGCACCTGTAGATCCGACGTAACGGAAAATTGCAACATCGTGAAAATCACGGCCGGAGCCCAGGACCCCATCTTTCCGCTCCATTTTGCGAGCTGGATCTATCTGTGAAGGTCCCGCGCCCCAAATTATACGAAACTGCCAGGCCTGAAAGAACTGAGACGCCAGGGTCTCAGGGCACGCACGGGCCAGACTGGGCAACAAGCGCGCCGCTCACGAACTCCCTGCGGGGAGCGACACTGACCAGCGAGGAAATGGCGGACAATGGAAGAAAGGCGATCCGAAGAGAGACGACAGACGATAAGCAACGGTGGAGAAGAAAAAGAAGAGAAGCAACGGTGGAGAAGAAAAAGAAGACGAGGAAGAAGAAGAAGAAGAAGAAGAATAATGATAATAATAAGAATCAGAAAAAAAAGAAGAAGCCCGCTGCCCTTCGAGAGGGCCGGTCCGACATCGTACGGCCAGGTCCGCCCAGGCGAACTCCCGGCGGGGCGGCGGCGCAGGAGACGAGGAGCTGCCCCGCCGCAGGCCGAGCCAGGCGCGCGCGGCGCGGACGCCCGAGGGGAGGAGGAGGAGGAGGAGGAGGAGGAGGAGGAGGAGGAGGAGGAGGAGGAGGAGGAGGAGGAGGGGGAGGGGAGGGGAAGGAGGAGGAGGAGGAGGAGGAGGAGGAGGAGGAAAAAAACGAGGGGGATCTGGAGGGGGAGGAGGAGCGCGCGCGCCCCAGCACGCGCGAGGCACGCGGAGAACGACGGGGCTGCCTGCGCGGGGGGGGCCGCCCCACGGCGGCAGCACAGAGCCAGCCTCGACCTTCAGCCCCATCCCTGAGGCTGGCAGGCCGCCAGCACCGGCCACTTCGGGCCCCCCGCCCCCGATGGGGGCCCCCCGAGACCGCCGGCGGGCGCGCTGCGGAGGCCCCCGGAGGTGTGCCCCCCGAGACGGCATGAGAGAGCAGCAGGGAGCAGCAGAGACCCGCAGAGAACAGCGCAAGGAGGAGGAGGAGGAGGAGGAGGAGGAGGAGGAGGAGGAGGAGGAGGAGGAGGAGGAGAAAGAGGAAGAAGACGGAGGGCGCGGAGCAGGGGGAGGAGGAGGAGGCGCAACTGATGGCGGCAGGAGGGCCTCCGCAGAGGCGAAGGGGAAAGGGCGAGGGGCAAGCTGAACGAACTCTCGTGCGGGGCCCGACCGTCGGAGTATGTTTCCTGCTGGGTAGGGGTGGGAGCGGTGCCACTCGAGGATGGGAGCTTGTGTGCTGCGGCTGTGGGTGAGGAAGTGGTCGAGGCAACACCTTTACTTGGATCGCGTTGTCGAGAGCGGCCGTGTGTCCAGTCCTGCCTTGGGCACCCCGTCCCCAATTCGTGAGGTCATATGTCCCGCGCTGCTCCCTCCGTCCCGTCGGTGCTCCCCTTCTCCTGTTCCTAGCCTGGTTCCCTCTGTACACCCCATCTTTTTCATCAGCCCCCTCCCTTTCTTGAAACGTCCCAGAGTAATGCCATGGGCTTGTTCCACCTCGTCCTCCCTAGCCGTCCCCGCCGTCATCCTCCTCGTCTCCATCCTTTCGTTCGCCTCATGCGGGTCGCGTAAGTTTACTGTTGGGTATAGCATTAGACGTAGGGAGACCCCATCGTGGCCACGCTCTCGTCTTGTACGCCTTCCTGCAATACCTACGCATAGACATCTTGTCGGCCTCCCCTTGTACCGTAATGTCCCCGTCAATTGGTAGTGGCTCAAGAAGCTCATGCACGTAACTGACGTGGTCCTCCAGCATCTGTCCAAGATACATATATTTGTGACGCTGCGAGACCCCCCATGCAAAGCTGGTCGTCCCAGCTCCTCCGTCCAGTAATCCTTGGGCCAGTGGGTATTTGGCGCCAGGAAATGCATTTTTGGGGCCCCCCGCCCAAGTCTTTGGTAGGGGATCCTTAGTCGGCGCGTTTCTGCGAAGTTGCGCCTGCCGTAGACCTCATGGATGAGCTCAGTCGCCTTCGCCCTCATCATTCTCGAGGTCGTCCCGCGCCTGCTTCAGAACATCTTAGATCTCATCTAAGTTCGGTCTGCACTGTCTCGAACCCGATCGAGTCGGCTTTGGGCTGTAGCTTGTATCGGATTTCTCGCCTCGTCGCAATAGATCGAGCCGTCGCTTCTTTCCTTGCTCAAATCGATCGTCGGCTTCTTCTTCTTCTTCTTCTCCGTTGTTTTCTCCGGAAAGCCTGGTGCACTCCGAGCCGCACCCCCCCAGCAATTCCAACGTCCCGTCGGCAGTGCCCCCCTGTAAATGCACTTTCCAATGCCTCCTGTCCTACCACCTCCACCTCCTCGTCCAGTGCCTGAAATGGTAGTGCGCGTTTGTGGCCGCGCTTCAGGCGACTCCATGAGGCCGTTCTTGCAAAGCCTCTGTTGTCTGTGGGCGCCGGACGGGAAAGATAGTTTGTAGGATGAGGCAGCGGTCTCGAAATCTTCTGGCCTTAATTTTCTGCAACCTCTTGCCTGCTATCTGTAGTGATACGGCTTGTGTGTCCAGAATGACCATGGAACGTGTGTCCTGTGTCGTGGTGTGATACGAGAGCGCTCATGTCGCTAATGCTGCACATTGTGCGAAAACTCGTGCCGCTGCTGTTTCCTACTCTTGGTTGGGTGCCTCCCACCGTTGGGCCTCTGGACGTGATTATTGCGCCATCGAGGTCCCTGCGGCATTCAAAATCACTGTATATGTCCACCCCACCACTGGTGTAGTACGACGTCCTGTCATGCCCACCTGCCCTTCGATACAATCGCTCAGGGCCGTCTCTAGTTCCTCGTAGGACCTAACGTGTATAGGGGGCACAGTAGCATACATACAGTGTGTAGTCGTACTGGCTGGTAGTGATGCGGATCCCCGCTGTGCGACTTTGTAGCTGCGCTGGAGAAGTGTAGATGGCTCGCAGGTCTCGTTCCTCTACTCTTCTGCTGATGAATATGCGCACCCCGCAAGATGTGTTAACCTGTTTGCAATTCCTGGCCCCAACCTGGAATACCATGTAGTGGAGCAGGTGATTCGTTTGTACCGGTTCCGAGCCTGCCCACTTGCATATGCCGCTGAGCAATACTATGTCCCACGGCTGTGATTCACAGCTTCTGTCTTCCAGCCGTTCTATACCTTTCGCTTCCATGGGGCTGTAGCAGCAAGAACGCATGCTATCGCTGGGTTGGTCCTGTGGCCAGTGTCGGTCCCCTGGTTCCCCTGCCGTCAGAAGCCTGAGGTGCTGGGCGAAACATCGTGGGTACGCAGTTGTACGTGAGGTACGGCCAGTCTGCTCCTCGAGAACAAGGTAAGTGAAACTCGTACCAAAGTCGACCGAATCTAATCGAAAGTCACTGTGGTCAGTGATTGCCACGCCCTGGCGGCAGAACTCCCTGAAGGCCCTGGGAACGTCCGCAACCTCCACCACTTCATGGCGAAGGGCCCCATACAAACGGTACAACGCACACCGCGCCACACCCTGCTGGTGGCACAGGAGCGCTGGGCAGGTGTTCGCCTGAACCGGCAGCTCCTGCAACTCTAAGGATGCGCCCTCAGAAACCGAGGGGGAGCCTCGAAACCGGCGTCGAGGCCAGGTGGGCGACTTCGGAAACCCTGAACCCAGAATGTTGTCATCTCTTGGAGGTTTCCGCCAGACTTCCCCCGGCGGAGGCGGCCTCGCGTCGCTTCCACCGACCTTCCGCCAGAGGACGAGATGGCAGCTCCCTCGACCCTCGAAGGCGAGGCCCTCCTTGGAGCGCCTCGGGTGATGCCAAGGATAGGCACAGGGTTAGGTCGGGCCTGTCCCCCATACAGGTGGATTTTTGGACGAAAGATAAGACAGTACCCAACGAGTGCACCAACATGCTCCAAAATACCAAAAACCAAATCGTCCCCAGACCATTTCTGAGCACTTCTTCTGTAGAGGGACACGCCCGACTTACGTGTGGAGACAGGGGCAGGCCCCGGGCTGGGGAGCACGGGCGGCCCGGCGGGCGGGCCGCGCGCGACGGCGCGGCGGCAGCGCGCCGCAGCAGCGGCCAGAGGAGCAGAGGCGGCCCCTGGGCGGCGGCCCGGGCCCGGGCAGGAGGCGCCGAGCAGGGAGGCCCGAAGGCAGCAGCCGCGCGCACGGGCCCCGCCGCGGCCGCACGGCGGCCGAGAGGGGGCGAGCAGCCGCCCGCGCCGCCCCGCTCCTGCCCTCGGCTCGGACGTCCGTTCCCCGTGCGCTGCTCGGCTTCCTGCGTGTGTGTTTGTTTGGTCGGCGATTCAGGAATCGGGGGCGGCCAACAGAGGGGGCATCCAAGAGGGGGGGGGGGGGCGCAAATCATGGCCGGCGGCACGAGCGCGGCCCAAGGGGGGGGGCCAGGGACGTAGTGAAATAAGAAGAGGCGCCTCGAAATCTGGGGAGATATCATGGCCCCGCCATGATATCCCTCCCCCCCAGTCATCACCCCCCTCTTCGCCGCCCCCGACAGGATGCTCCTCGAGGGTCCCCGCCGGGAAAAAATGGCACACGCCCGAGCAGGACCGACCGTTGGGCGCTCCACGGGCCCAGGCCCAGGTCGATGCAGGTTGAAGGGCCGCGCTCTCTCCCGCCGCTCGTCTCTGCGCAAGGCCCGCGCGAGAGCGGCGCTGCCCTGCCGCGCCTTTCTGCAGAGGAGGAGGAGGACGAGGAGGAGGAGGACGAGGAGGAGGAGGAGGAGGAGGAGAAGGAGGAGGAGGATGAGGATCAGGAGGAGGAGGAGGAGGAGGAGGAGGAGGAGGAGGAGGAGGAGGAGCAGGAGGAGGAGGAGGAGGAGGAGGAGGAGGAGGAGGAGGAGGAGGAGGCGGGAGGAGGAGGAGGAAGAGGAGGAGGAGGCGGAGGAGGAGGAGGAAGGAGGAGGAGGAGGAGCAGGAGGAGGAGGACAGGGGAGGAGGAGAAGGAGGAGGAGGAGCAGGAGGAGGAGGAAGAGGGGGAGGGGGAGGAGGAGGAGGAGGAGGAGGAGGAGGAGGAGGAGGAGGAGGAGGAGGAGGAGGAGCACTGCCGCTACATCTGCTTCCACTGGATGCAATATGTGGCAGCTTTGGCCGCTGCATACGGACGTGCTATGTGATCGCGCGGGGAGGGTAGCTCGGGAGCACTAGAACAGACAAGAAAAAACAGCGGGATGGAACGTGCGAGGTGTGGGACACAGGGCTGCATTGACGGGCGGCGGGGGTCTCAACGTCATGCGCATCATCCGCCACTCCGCGCGGCGGAACGGCACATCATGTTGAAGCTCCGACGCAGGGCATACCAATTCGTCTGGCAGGCCACCGAGAGACGAGGGGCAACATCGAAGTTGGAGGAGACCCGAGCGGCGAAGGCACATAGCGCCAGGAACCGCCCAACGATGTCCGTCGCCAGCAGCAGCATGCAGAAGTGACGCAGCATCCTGAAGATCTTGTTCGGGAAGGGCGGCGCCGGCCGAGCAGTGACGGTACGGAGCACCATGAACAGCCCATTCATGCCGAACGCCTTCGGGATGGACGTGGCAAGCGGCAGCATGCAGAACGCGGGCTGGGCGAGCAGCGGCAGCGGCTCCAGAATCAGCTTCAGGAGGATCATGTTCGGGAAGGGCGGCGACAGACACCTCATCTCCCTCCTCGTCAGAGCTATGCATATATTCGCGACACCCTGCGGCGTCAGAGTCGTTCTCACTGTGGGTCGTGCAGTGATACGGAAGCTGCTCCATGAAAGCGTGTACAAGATACGGCGCTTAGGGTCATTAATCATCGCCCACGCGGCCACGTGCTTCAGGATCTTCGTGGCCTCCGTGTATGTGGTGCTGTGGCTGACCAGCTCCGTGGTAGTGAGCATGTGAACGAGATGGCGCGCCGCGGCTTCGTCAAGACGATCACGGTGCCGAGCGACAGGCTGATGTGGTGCGTGCGGTAGGCGTGCAGCCAGGAGACGCCTCCAAGCCTCGGGATGCTGGTGGTGACAATCTCCATCACGAGCTTGAGCGGGACGAGCTTCACGACCATCAGGTTTCGTAGGGGCGCCACCTACGGCGGCAGTGGAGCAGACGTGAGGAACACGGTCAGCAACGTGCAGCATGCAGAGATGCGCCACCCGTAGCGGCGGTGGGACTTCGGGCACCATCAGGTTTCGTAGGAGCGCCACCGTCAGCGGCAGCGGCAGCACGAGGCTCGTCACGGCCGAGTTCAGGGAGAAGTTTTTGAAGCAGATCGCCACCGACGGCGGCGGCGGCAACACGAGGCTCGGCACAAGCGGGTTCAGGTCGAAGCTCTTCATGCAGATGGTCGCCACCGTCAGGGACATCGGCAGCACGATGGTAATCACGATCAGGTTCATGCAGAAGTTCTTGACGCATATGGTCGAGACCAGCGGCGGCGGCGTGAGCACGAAGCGCGTCACGAACGGGTCAAATGAGAAGTTCTTGAGGCAGATTGTTGCCACCGGCGGCGGCGGCAGCAAGAAACTCAGCACGAACGAGTTCAGGCAGAAGTTCTTGAGGCAGATGGTCGCGACCGTCGGCGGCAGCGGCAGCACCAGGCTCACCACGAACGGGTAAGTGCAGACATTCTTCATGCAGACGGTCGCCACCGTCAGCATCAGCGGCAACAAGAGGCTCACCATGATCGGGTGCAGGCAGTAGCTCTGCCGGCTGGTGGTCGCCACCGTCGGCGGCAACATCAACACGAGGCTCATCACGAACAGGTGCAGGGAGGAGTTCTTCATGAAGATGGTCGCCACCGTCGGCGGCAGCGGCGGGTTGAGCGGCCTCCGTGGACAGGGTGGCCTCGAACACGAGTTCGTACCACTCGTCGAAGCAGCGGATGAACGGCTTGTTCGAGAGGAGGATCTTACGCCGAGCCGCTCGCCGCCATTCGCGAACGAGGGGACGAAGAGCAGCGAGAGCATTCCTACGAAGACGGGCGCCACCAACGGCAGCGGCGTGCAAAGAACCACGTTGCGGAACGGGTTGGGGAAGCGGTCCAGCACCGTGGTGTGGGACCTCAGGAGCAACACCGTCTCGTGGAACACGGCCAAGGGCGGCTCCAGGAACGGGGCGTGGGTCATGCAGAAGATCGTCGGCGACACCATCGGCACCGGGTCCAGCGGGTTGGTGAACTTGACGTGCGGTTTAACGAGCGAGCGGAGGAAGAGGACCAGCTCCGTTAGGGGCAGCGTCGGCCACTCCAAGCGGTAGGACGTCACCAGCCACACCTAGCCGAGGGACATGCGGACGGGCGTGAGGAGCAGCAGCACCAAGGGCAAGATGTGAAAGTGGGCCAGCTCCGTGTCCTGGGGCGCCTCGCTCGCGGAGTACCTGGATGTAGCGTGCAATTTTCGTCAACTCGTCGCTCATGCACACGCCCAGGGGGAAGAGCTGCCTGGGGCGCTTGGCAGTGCCCGTCGTTCGTCGCGTAGAAGAAGAGCGAGGTGAAGATGGACGCGTCCGCCATCCCGACAGCGACGTAGGCCGCGTTGATAGGCACGACAACGACGAATATGAAGTGCGGCTGGCGACCGCGTGTGGGGCATGCAGACGCCGCCGCAGATCACAACCAGCAGCAGCAGCGGCCTGATCGGGATCACCCGAGCGTGCGCGAGCATGGACATATGGGTGCGCGGCCCACGGCAGCGGGCGGCGCTGCGCTCGGCCAGGAGGCCTTGGGCGAGACGGCTGTGGAATCCATTTCGGCCCAAGTCCGAGATCCCACGGAGGGGACGGACTTGAGCCAAAATGGCTACGGAAGGAGGAGGAGGAGGAGGAGGAGGAGGAGGACTGCCGAGGTATGCTGGGTGCCCATCTCGGTGGCGCTCAAGAGGCAGGATGCAGATCGTCCTGGGCGGCGGAGCGAAAGCGCGCTCGACGGGCTGCCGGGGCACAGCCCCTGGCCAGGCCGGAGAGGGAGGTGACCTAAGCGCAGGCGGAGAGCTTGCGGTGCCGACCTCAGCGGGGGCCCCCTGCCTGCGGGTGGCAATGAAAGAACGAAGAAGCATCATCTGAACAAACGAATCCACTACCACACGTGTCTCCCAAAACTGCGTCTACTGCAGGCGGCATCACAGAAGAGCACGCAACCAACGAAAGCGAGAATGGGTCCTCTCTCCCATCTGTATCCTTGTTGAACTCTGCACCGGCACCTCCGAACCCATTCCAGTAGCTGGTTCCCAAATCGCTGATCGATGCGATAGCGTCTTGGACACGAACAAATCTTACCACAAACACGAAGCTGGTGACGTGTATGCAGTACGCACATGGTTGTCAAACTGCACCCCTCATGTGCAAAGATGTTCTCACTCGCGTAAGGTCAATCGATCTCTACTGCCTCTTCACGCTCGGCCCTCTTACTGCGTGCGTGTGCCTCTGCAGGCAATCAGCTTTATGCCACAGGCAATTGCCCCTGCCCACTTGCATCTGATATAACCACTCGGAACTCGTCACAATCGATTCGGTCCTGCAAGAACCACAGAACATGGCTGCATGGCAAGACCAGCACAATCAGATCGAGAGGCATGGGCTCAAACCCTACCGTCAGCTCAACGTGAATGACTCGAACACCTTGTGATACGCCAGCAAGTTGAAATAGAAAGTAGGCAACACTCCAAAATGCAGACTCCCACACAACCTCATCCAAACGGGGGCATTGCCCCATAACGTGTATCATGCGCGCGTGGAAAAAACAAAGACCAGGGTGATAGGTGAGAGGGCCGAACGGTCTCACACATGTCCCCCGGATGAGCGGCGGAAGGTGGGCTCTGTGGTGCGTCGTGCTGCTGCTGCCGTCGCCGTCAACCCTGAACCCTTCACCCGCCCCGCGATCGATGTCCCTTCTGCTTGCCACCAATGCAATGCTCACCCGCCCACGATCCGCGAACCCCGCTAGCCGCGACTCGCGCGGCACGAACACCCCATGACTGGCGGCCGCGATCGCAACCCCGAAACTGTGATCAAGATATGCACGGGTACGAGCGGCATACGATCTTCTTTCGGCGACCATGTGTTGAAAATAACTGCGTACGTATATCACCCGCTACTCGTCCTAGGCGATTCGAACAAATACCCCTAGCGACGACGGAATATGATTGTTTCGCGCCGTGGCCCAAACCGTGACCATAGTCGCACGCGCATGCAAGCGGCCGTGTATGCATCCCCTGGGCTTGTGCTGATTTCTACACGTTGGGGCGTGGGGGGCTGGTCAGTCCCTTATCTGGTGGGTTCGTTGTTGGCTCTGGCTAACTGCAAGGTGTCCAGGAATCCAATCCCTTGCTCTTACTGGCAAGAGCATTCATCTGCGGAGGCCTTCCTGTTGTTTCTGTCATCTGTGTGAGCACGGGGATCTGGACAGGTTCGAACAGAGAGTTCGCAAGCTGTGGACGCTGGCCAGTCTCAAGCTTATGAATACTCGCTTGGCCCATCAAAAAGTTGTTACATAATGGGCGCAACTATGTCAGAGCTACAAGCAAAAGCCCTCAACTTCACTTGCCACTTGCCCGCTCCTTCCGCTACAAAGATGCACGTGTTTAACTGGGCATTGCGGCTTGAGACCGTATGACTCGAACGTACTATAGAGAGCCACGTGACGCAGGCCCCCGATGACCGACATCACACCACCTCGGATAGCACCAACAGAGAAACTGGGCACGACTGAGGAACAAAACTTCCGGCGATGAGGCCGGAGAGCAAAGGCAGCACACTGATGTAGTGATGCGGGAACAGGCAGGGGAGCACATCATCGAACCGACAAATCGGATCGGCGATCGACATGGATCGGATCGGCGGAAGTCGGCAGCCGAGTCGGGTAAAGTCGACTTGGCGGAAAACGGCAGGCTGGTAGAGCTCACATCGGACCCCGAGGCCATATCGAATCGGCGTCGGAAGCCATCAACATCAAATTGTCGAATCGAGTCGGAGGAATCGAAGTGAGCCCCGGCGGGCAAGAACGGCAAGGGAATGAAGCGCTGCGCGGGGCGCACAGAAAGAGATGATGGGCCGATGTTCCACCAGCACTGCCATAGGCAGGACGAGGAGGAGGAGGAGGAGGAGGAGGACGAAGAGGAGGAGGAGGACGACCTCCCCATCCTCTATCCCCCGTCCTACCTATGGTAGTGGTGGTGGGAAATGCGCCCATCAAGAGACAAGGGCAGGCGCCCCGACAAGAAAGGAGAACGGGGGGCCCTGGGCTTGATGACCAGCGGGAACGTGGCGGATGCCTGCAGAGGCGGCCCGGCGCGGAGCGCCCCGTGGACTGGCGCGCGCACCCGGGCCCACGACGGTGTCGACCGACTCCGGAGGCCCGGCTCCCAAACGCGTTGGCGCCTCACGTGAGCGACGATCAAAAACGGGCATTACGCGAGATGGCACCGCGACCTGACGCCGCGGCTTACGCGGGCCGCCAGCGCGGCACGTCACTTTGGGAACGCGGGCGCTTACGCGCAAGCTTACGCGGGCAGCTTACGCGCCGATGTCGGCGCAGACGACCCCGTTCTCTTGCGTCGCTCCAGCTGCACGCGCGAGCGACCCTAGGCATGAGTGGCCTTTGGTGGTGCGCGACTTTACTCGCCATCGCTCGAACGTCCATTCCCTGTGCATTTTCCGACTTCGTGCGTGCATTCTTTCGTGAGGTGACCCACAGTGCTCCTCGATGGTCCTCGCCGAGAAAAGATGCACACGTCCGAGCGATGCCAAGTTCAGGGGGGGCGCAAGGGGGGTGCCCGACCCGAGCGCGCGAGCGGCTGCTGCGGCAGCAGATTCAGCCGTCCGGGGCACCCCTGGTGTGCCCGCAGCAGCGGTCACCGTGGCGAAGAGTCGCTATTCACGTGTCGTCGATCACCGACATGTCCCTCCGTCGTCCGCCGGCCTCTGAGACAGCGGTCGTTGCCGATCCCACACGGGGCGCGGACCGCATCTCTCTCTCTCTCTCTCTCTCTTAGTTGTTTTTTACGTGTGCGCAAGATTCCCCAACCGGTATTCCAGAATTCACTGTGCCTCGCTCCACCCAGGAGCGAGGTGAGACGGATCAATGTTGTTGGCCAGGGGACCAGAACCGCTTCTCCTTATCCCGAATCAGCCGTCCGAGGTGCACAGATAGAGCGAGCACCCCCAATCACAAGTCCGAAGGCATCATTGGAAAGCAAAGGTAAGGAGAAACGAAACAATTACGTCGGAAAACGAACCATGGGTTGCCTATTATGTTTCCTCCTACCCTCCTGCGTCGTTGGATCCTCATCTGAATCCGCGATGCCCCGCGTCTCACATCCTTCCTACTCCCTCTTCCCTTCCTTGCCTCTGCTCTACAAGTCCCCCTCCTCGTATTGCCACTGCTCCCCACATGTCAACGCCGCCACGCTCATCACAAGTTACGTGGCCGCGTAGGGAGCTCCACAAAAGGTCTCACCAGCAACGCCCGCATGCTGAACAGGTCAATGTTGGCACACCCCTCACACGTCCCAGGGCTCCAGAGGACCTCCACCGCAGGCCCCAGTGGCCACAGGTCCATTTCGGCACACCCCTTGCACGCCTCGTGGCCCCAGGGACCTTCACCGAAGGGCCCCATATGCTGGGCAAGTCAATTTCGACATACGCCTTCCATGTTCAGGGCCCCACAAGCAGCTCCGCCGAAGGCCACAACAATGGCCCGCCCGCATCCTGGTCGGGTTGATTTCGGCACACCCATCACACGTTCCGTGGCCCCAGGAGAGCCTGCACTGAAGGCCTCAGCAGCAACGCCCGCATGCTAGGCAGGTTCATTTCGGCACACCCCTCGCAAACTCCGTGGCCACGATATGGAGATCCGCTGGAGACCCCAGTGGCAACATCCGCATGCTGAGCAAGTCCATTTCGCCACACCGGTCAAATCTGTCGTGGCCTCATAAGGACCTCCACCGAAGGCCCCACTGGCAACGCACGCATGTTCAGCGGGTGCATTTGGGCACGCCCATTGCAAGTTCCTTCCTCCGAGGTCCCATGGGAACCTCCACCGAGGGCCACAGTGGCACAAGCCGCATGCTGGGGAAGTCCATGTCGGCATGCCGCACACGCTTCGTGGCCCCATAGGGACCTCCACCGAAGGCCTCAGTCGCACCGCCCGCATGCTGGACAAGCACATTTCGGCAATCCCTCGCGTGCTTCGTGGCCACATAGGGCCCTGCGCCGAAGGTCCTGGTGACACCGAGTGCCTCGCAGCTGCATAGGGTTGGGTACTCCGTCTTCGGTCGAGCAAAGGTGTCACAAAAACACACGCAAGCCCCATGCGAAAGGTGACAATGAGCGCTTCTAAGCCACATGCAGAACTTCATGCTAGAAGAGATCCCGCCCCCGAGGGTCGCACAAAGAATCGACGGCACAGCGAAAGACACCTCCGGCATTAGAAACGTAGGTGCGCTCATCCCCACTCCTCCGAGGTCTGATGGTCAGATGGGCCCCAGGTAGTTCGAAGGAGGAAATTCGGTGTGCTTCCTCTGGGCCGGCCCTTTTCCTGTGATTTGCGCAAGGATGAGTCCCTTGCAACTTGCACCCTCCAGGCTCAATCGAGTCTCCTCCCCCTGGGAGTGGAAGAGCAGAGCTACTGATCGTATCCGCGTCGACGCACAGGCAGAGCTCAAGCGCATTCCAAGTCTCGAGATTCAGTCCGAGCGCTAGCGGAAACAGTGTGACTTTTAGATGCGCAGTCGCGCGTTCCTTCACACTTTGCGTGCTGATGCAAGTGAACCTTTCGATGGGTGGCGACAAAACAGATCCTGCATCGCCGCCAGCAGCGTCATCAGCCTCATCATCATGCATTGTCACCAGCTCGCGAGCGCATCACCAGCATCGCCATTATCTCTGTCATCGCGGTTGTCGTCAGTTGGTTCGCCCCCACACGCACAACATGTCTATCACCCGAAGGGTGGTCGTATAGGTAGATATATGAGAAGTGGAGATCCCAAAATACCTACTCTCAACGACTGGTGGGTATAACCCTTCCTCGTCTGACCTCCAGCCTATGGGGGGCCTTGTCTGTCCCGTCGCGCCATTCGCGTCGAATCCATGTCGAATCCATGCTGGACTCGTCGAGTCTCGAATCCACGTCGAAGCCGCATCGAATCCACGCCAGATCCGCGTCGAGTCCGCATAGAACCCGAGCCCGGGCACGATAAAATACACAAACTTTTGGGACGGACGACGCCCCCCCGAAGATGCAGCGCGATCCTGGCATCCGTGCTGCCGCCCTCGAAGCCTCCTAGATGGGGTCGGAATAGGTGTGGTCGGTGGATCGCGCCGCATCGGCGATACATCGGCGATACATCGCCAATTCGTCGGCGATGCATCGGCTACATCGGCGATGCATCGGTGACGCCAGCGTGGAGAAAATCGGGCTCCACATGGAGCCGCATCGCCGATGCATCCATGATATGAAACCGTTGTGCAATTCCTGGGGAATAGCACATGTTACCCTGGGGGGGGCGGGGGGGGTAACGATAACGGGGGCCGCGGCGCGCACCCCCTGAGGCGCGCCGTCTACGTCGTCGTCGTCATCGTCGTCGTCGTCGTCCTCGTCCAAGCCCGCAGTGCGTGTGCACACAACACGGGCTCTGTACACCACAACGCCTTTGTGCATCAAAACTGCTGCAGAAATGGTATGTGTGCACCACGGCGACTGTATACACTAAAACAACCGTGTGCCCCACAGGGACTTTGTACATCGCACTGTTTGTGCACACCACGGCACCTGCGTGCACCACAGCTGCTGTTTCAGCACCCCCTGTGCACCACAGTGCCTGCGGACCCCGCAGAGCTCGTGTACACCTGAGGGTACCGACGGAGCCAAACTCTGGAAAATCGCTGGGGGCCCGAACGTAGAACATTCAATATGTGAGTTGATTGTGATTATTGTTTTTTTCTGGCCCAAGAACGCTCAGATATTTCTGGCCCACAACGCTTGTGTACGCCATAGCGACTGTGCACGTCATTGCAACTGCGCGCACCACGGCGCCCGTGAACACCACGCGGCTTGGGGGCGCGCGGAGCTGCGTCAGCCGAAGGAATACACGCAAGAGAAGTAGCAGGAACAGCATCACCAGCAGGAGGAGCAGGATGAGCAAAAGAGACCCTACGACCTACGATGGGGTCGACAGCTCGGGGCCCGCGCTCTTTCTTCAAGAGCACTGCCAAGATGCACGCCGTCATCTAACAGCATGTACACTTACCTCGACGGCCCCGACGGAGCCAAAATCAGGAAATGATTGGGGGCCGAATGCATCATACTCAATATGTGATATGATTGTGATTATTTTTTTGGGCACGAGGAACGCTCGGACATTTTGAGCCGAGTGAAACACAACGCCTGTGTGCACCACAAGGACTGTGTGCACCACAATGCTTGTGTAACCACAATGCCCGCGTCCTTTATGCGCAAGGAGAACGACGACGAGGAGGACAAAAATGAAGAGGGAGGAGGAGGAATTAGGACGAGATGCGTGGATACATCATAGCCCACAATGAACGCTTACATCATATCGATTTTGCGAATTACAGCGAATGTGTACATCTCGGCGCCTGTGTACACCACAGGGTTTGTAATGTGTACACCACCGTGCCTGCGTACACCAACTATGCCTGCGTACACCACAGCTACTGCTGCAACGACAGCTGTGTGCGCCACGACGTCGGTGTACACCGCAGTGCCTGCGTACGCCATGATGCGCGCCCGCATACGCCGCGGCACCAGTAGTGCCCGCGTGCACCAGAGGCCCTAGGCTGCCCTGGATCGCGCCCTGGACCGGGGCCGGGGCGTTGCGGCACGGGGAGGGGGGGGGCAGGGGGGCAGGGGGGGGGGGTAACATGTGTTGTCCCTTGGGTGGGCGAACAAATGGTCTCTACGGCGCGCGATCCCCCGACCCCATCTACAGTGGAGGCCCGTCCACAAGTAACCTTCCACAAGAAACCCAACCCTGAGACCCCAGGACGTCCATTGATTTTGGGCGTGGGAACGTCGCGATTTCCATCGCAAGCCCATCGAAACCCAAGAAACACAGGGCACCCTTGAGGCAAGCAGGGTGTTTCTTGGCATGGGCCTCCACTGTACTCGGAGCCAACCCAGGAGGCCTGGACCTCCCTCGGACGAGCGCTCCGCCGGGCTCCACGCGGAGCCCCTTCCAGCGCCCGAGGCGGGCGGCCGCGTCGGGGCGGCGCAGCATCCGCGCCTGGCCGCTGCCGAACCGCAGCTCGCCCTCGCAGGGCTCGTAGTCGCGGCCCACGACCGCGGTGACGTCCTCGCGCCGCGCCGAGACTTGCCCACGGCGAGCGAGGGCTGAGCCCGCTGATTTGAACATCTTCTTACTGTTCCCCTCCCATCGCCAGGACGCCCATTCCTTTTTGCGCATCTTTCGACTTCGTGCGCATATGTTCCGCTAGATGATCCAGGATGCTGCTCGATGGTCCTCGCCGAGGACATAAAACACACGTCCGAGCGATGCCACGCCCCTTGTGCGAAGCCCGCGCGCGATCCCTAGCAGACCGGCCGATCGACCAGACGTCAACAGCGAGCCACCCCGCACTCGAGCATTGACGGACGGTCCCGCCCTTCCATTCGGGCTATCACGACATTTTCTCAGAACATAAGAGGGCTCTGAACACAGAATCAGTGTTCTGAGGACAGAAAACAGGACGGTCTCAGCCAGAGATATGCAAAGAGCCTGACTAGGCTCTTAGAGCAGTACGTGGTGGGCCGATTGGCAAGCCAGGACGCCTCGCCGCTGCTTGCACACCCGCCCGACCAGTCGACATTGAACCCGGCGCGAGCCGCCCAGTGCTCTCGCCCGACGGTTGGGAGGATGGTTTTGTGGAGCTTCTGGCCCGTTGGGCCCTCCGACAGCCTTCGCGGGCCGCTGACGTGCCTCCAGCGACCTCCAGGGATGCGGGGGGCAGGGCCGTGGGAGCTGCCTCGCGACGGTCGAAGAACAAAGGTGATCTTGGACGCGCGCGGCACAACGCATTCCGTGGCAACTCATGGGCGCCTCCAATACCATCTTGTCGGCTCTTGCGAATCTGCCGCGCTCAAATTAAATCACGCTAAATCGACGCTTGCCGACGCTCAATCAACGCTAATCGAAGCTAAACGACGCTAACTCGTCGCGATCTCATCGACTCCCAGACGCTAGTCAACGCTAAAGACAAAATTAAGAGGGTATACCAGGCCCCCATGATTTGCTGCCGAAAACAAGGAACTACTGGGGACGTCTGGGGGGTACGTCCTCGCACTGCCAGGAGGGGGAAGTGTCTCCAGAGGAGCATTTTTGGACGCCCGCGCAGCCACGGTTAGATGGATTACTCCCGTGGCTCTTGCCCAACCGCACCCCTGGAGTGCTCTAGGCACGCAGCGTCAGGCTTTGCCCGCGGCGATCGGAGATCGAGGGCAGTTGATTTGGAGAATGGTTGGCCCTCTTGGGGCCTCCCTTGAACTCGGGTCCGCGGGGATTGCGCCCTGGGGCAGCACTGAAGCTCGCATCGTCCTGCTCCACATCCTCCTCATCCACGTCCTCCTCCTCCTCCTCCTCCTCGCCATCCTCGCCATCCTCACCGTCACAACCGTTTTAACCGCTTTCATTATCCTCCTCCCCCTCCTCCTCGCCATCATCATCATCATCATCATCATCATAATCATAATCATTATCATCATCATCATCATCATCATCATCATCATCATCATCATCATCATCATCATCATCATCATCATCATCATCATCATCATAATGATCATCATCATCATCATCATCATCATCATGCTCATCATCATCATCATCATCATCATCAGCAGCATCATCAGCATCATCATCATCATCATCGTCATCATCATCGTCAGCAACATTCGCCGTCATCATCATCATCATCATCATCATCATCATCATCATCGTCATCATCATCATCAGCAGCATCACCATCACCATCATCATCATCAGCATCATCATCATCATCATCGTCGTCAGCACGATCATCATTATCTGCATCACCAGCATCATCATCATACTCATGGACATAATCAGCATCATCAACAGTCACCATCATCATCATCATCACCATCATCATCAGCATCATCACCATCATCATCAGCATCGTCATCATCATCATCATCCTCATCCTCATCCTCATCCTCATTCTCATCATCATCATCAATATCATTACCAGCATCATCATCACTACCACGTCCCCATCAACGTCATCACCATCATCACCAACAGCGGCACTGACCCCAGACGCGTCCTCCTCCTCCTCCTCCTCCTCCTCCTCGTCCTCCTCCTCCTCGTTCGCAATCGTCCCATCCTCCCCCACTGCCTGAACGATAAGCTGTCGCGCAATGGGCTGCCCTCGGTGGCGACATCCACAACGCACGTTGCAGCTCCCTGCTCGCGGTCCTCCCGCGAGGGCCACGAGCACGCCCTCGGAGGCGGGCGCGGTCAGAGGCAGGCGGGCATCAGGCGCACTGGGATCCTTCGGCAGTCCTCAGGAAGCCTTAGGGAATCCTTGAGAACCCCTCGCGAACCCTCTAGAATCTTTAGGGGATCCCCCCGAGTCCCTTTGGGAATGCTCAAGAACCCTCGGGGAATCCTTCGGAATCCATCGGGAATCCGTCGGAATCCCCAGGGACTTCTCAGGAATCCCCAGAGAATCTTGGGGATTCCACAAGGACGCAGCGGGTACATTCGCCTGGACATGCAGAAGACAGAAAAGCCGCCCTCAGAGTGAGCAGCCCCACAGGCGAAGCCGTTAAGTAAACGCACCTGAGGAAGGAATCGAACAAGGCAGGGCTGCTTCAAAAACGCCAGTTATGGGGGTCGCGGTTTCCTCCCTCGGGCATGGACATGCCTGGGGGTTTTGAAAACCTGATGCGAGAGGCCTCCCAGGCTCGGTCTGCGCTTGCAAGCCATGCAGGTTCAGGAAACAGACAGGGTTTCCAGACAAAAACAGGGGCTAAGACGCAATCCGAGGTGTCTCGCCCCAATCTGCCAATGCAGAGGCATGGGCCTAGGACGGAGATCCAGGGGTCTCTAGACCCAGACATGACTGTATGCAAATACTTGGACTGGCGAAGGTCATGGTGACTCGCCGACCCCCGCTTGCCAGGGGCGACAAGGCGTGTGAGGCATGTGGCTGTCCCCCTCCCCCCCTTTCCCCCCCCTGGGGTCCAAAATGCCGTTTGAAAAAAAGAGGGGGGTGTTACGAGCTTGCCGGCGCACCTCCTGGGCCTTCTGGCCCAAAGAGCCCCAAGAGGACCCAGGCAGAGCGCCGAGGCCGCCGAAGCAGCGCCGAGACGGCCCAGCGTAGCACCGCGACGACCCAAGATAACTTCAAGACGGCCCACGAGGCCCCCAAGACTGCTTTAGTCCTCTTGCACAGGGTGCCTAGAGCTCCGACCACTCTATTTCGGCAAGGCCCCCCCCCCTCACCCACACATTCCACCAACCAGCGCGCCCCTCCGCCCCGACCCCTTTATTTCGGCACGGCACACCCCTCCGCCCCGACCCCTTTATTTCGGCACGGCATACCCCCTCCACACCCCTTCGCACCCTCCCCACCCACCAGCCAGCGCGCCCCTCCGCCCGGACCCCTTTATTTCGGAACGGCACCCCCTCCGCCCCGACCCCTTTTTTTTCGGCACGGCACGCCCCCTCCGCATCCCCCCACACACCAGCCTGCGCGCCCTTCCGCCCCGACCGCTTCACTTCGGCACGGCACACCCCTCCGCCCCGACCCCTTTTTATTTTGGCACGGCACACCCCTCCGCATCCCCCCCCACCCACCAGCCAGCGCGCCCCACCGCCCCGACACCCTTATTTCGGCACGGCACACCGCTTCCACATCATCCCCCCCCGCCCGCCAGCCAGCGCGTTTTTCCGCCTCGACCCCTTTATTTCGGCACGGCACACCCCTCCGTCCCGACCTTTTTATTTAGAGAATTTCGGCACGGCACACCGCCTCCGCATCCCCCCACCCACCAGCCAGCGCGCCCCTCCGCCCCGACCCCTTTTATTTCGGCAACGGCATACACACCCCGCATCCCCCCACCCACCAGCCAGCGCGCCACCTCCGCCCCCGACCCCTTTACGTCGGCACGCCCCCACCCCCACCCCCGCGCGTCCCTCCGCCCCGACCCTTTTTTTATTTCGGCACGGCACACCCATCCGCCCCGAATTTATTTCGCACGGCACACCCCCTCCGCATCCCCCACCCACCAGCCAGCGCGCCCCACCGCCCCGACCCTTTTATTTCGGCACGGCACAACACCTCCGCATCCCCCCCCCGCCCGCCAGCCAGCGCGCCCCTCCGCCCCGACCCCTTTTATTTCGGCACGGCACACCCCTCCGCACCGACCTTTTTATTTAGAGCATTTCGGCACGGCACACCGCCTTCGCATCCCCCCACCCACCAGCCAGCGCGCCCTTCCACCCCGGCCCCATTTATTTCGGCACGGCGCCCCCCCCCGCAATTCCCCACCCGCCAGCCAGCGCCGCCCATCTGCCCCGACCCTTTTATTTCGGCACGCCCCCCCTGCGCGCCCCCATCCGCCCCGACCCTTTTTATTCCGGCACGGAACACCCCTCCGCCCCGACGCCTTCATTTCGGCACGACACACCCCCTCCGCATCCCCCCTCCGCATCCCCCCGCCCACCAGCCAGCGCGCCCTCCGCCCCGACACCTTTTTATTTCGGCACGGCACACCCCTCCTCCCAGACTCCTTTATTTCGGCACGGCAACCCTCCCCGCCCCGACCTTTTTTTATTTCGGCATGACACACCCCCTCCACATCCCCCACCCACCAGCCAGCGCGCCTCTCCGCCCCGACCCCTTTATTTCGGCACGGCACACCCTCCGCCCCGACCCTTTTATTTCGGCACGGCACACCCCCTCCGCATCCCCCACCACCACAGCCAGCGCGCCCCTCCGCCCGACCCTTATTTCGCACCCCCCACCCCCCTCTTATTTCGGCACCCCCCCGACTCACCAGCCAGCGCGCCCCCTTCGCACCGCGACCCTTTTATTTCGGCACGGCCCCCACTCCCTCCCCGCGCGCCCCGCGCGCCCCCTCCGCATCCCCTCCACCCACCAGCCAGCGCGCCCCTCCGCCCCGATCTTTTAATACGCCCCCCTCACCCACCCACTCACAAGCCAGCGCGCCCCTCCGCCCCGACCCCTTTTGTTTCGGCACGGCACACCCCTCCGACCCTCCCCCTTCTTTTTTGTGCAAAAGCAATGTCACGCGTGCCACTTGTCGTTCCCGGAGGACCGCCGAGAAATCCCGAAGAGGCAAATGCCGTCCCATTCCCTGGGGGGAACTTACATGCTCAGCACACTGGCAGTTTTAGTTTTGACAGCTTCAAAGACAGCTTCTTGACAGGGGCCCGAATTATCGTCACAAGACGGCCGGTGAGGCCCCAAAAGTGCCCCAAGACGGCCCTGAGACGGCCCCAGGAGGCCCCCAAGATGGCCCAAGAGAGCCCCAAGAAGGCCCCAAGAGAGTCCAAGAGGGGGAGTACGAACTGATCTTCCGAGCCTTTCCCCACAAGATGGCCCCAAGAGCCCCCCCAGAGGCCCCCGAGGCACCCCCAAGAGGCCCAAGAGGCCTCCAAGACGCCCCCAAGACGCCCCCAGAGGGCGTCCAAGAGGCCCCCAAACCTCTCCCAGATGCACCCGAAAGCCTTCAACAAGGCCCCTGAGAGGCATCCAAAGAGACCCTCATATCCATCCAAGAAGCTCCTGACCCACAGCCCAGGCACGGTGGCGGGCTGGGCCGAAGGCCACTCGAAAACTTCCGCGATCGTCGCGGGCTCTGACTCCTTCTGGGGGATTGGCAGCATGGCTCAAGCCACTTGAATCAACAGCTCTGCATCCGAAGGCTTGCAACTGCTCGAGACATGAAAGGCTCCACGCTCGAGGTGGAGGGGGTGCCTTGAGAGAGCAAGCTTTGGGTCGGGCATGTCCCCTACAGGCGGGCTCAGGAACAAAAACTGCAAATAGCCAAAATATATTCAAACACAGTCAAGAATGGTCAAATAACCATCCCCAGGCTATGTTTTGACTGCTGCTGAAAATTCCTCCTGTAGAGGGGCACGCCCGACTTGAAGATAGCTTTAAGTCGGGCGTGTCCCCCTACTACAGGGGGGTGTTCGACGAAACATAAAAATATCCAAACAATGCTCCCAAATGGTCGAACAATGCTCAACAATTTGTCCCCAGGCTATGTTTTGACTGCTGCTGAAAATTCCTCCTGTAGAGGGGCACGCCCGACTTGAAGATAGCTTTAAGTCGGGCGTGTCCCCCTACTACAGGGGGGTGTTCGACGAAACATAAAAATATCCAAACAATGCTCCCAAATGGTCGAACAATGCTCAACAATTTGTCCCCAGGCTATGTTTTGACTGCTGCTGAAAATTCCTCCTGTAGAGGGGCACGCCCGACTTGAAGATAGCTTTAAGTCGGGCGTGTCCCCCTACTACAGGGGGGTGTTCGACGAAACATAAAAATATCCAAACAATGCTCCCAAATGGTCGAACAATGCTCAACAATTTGTCCCCAGGCTATGTTTGAATCTTCCTCCTGTAGAGGGGCACGCCCGACTTGAAAGATAGCCGTCAGAGATGGCCCGCTCCGTGCGCCCGCGGGCAACCGGAACGGCGGCGAAGCCGCCAGCTGCCCGTGCGGGCAGAGCCCGCCGCTCGGCGGGGAGAGCGCCCGACGGGGGCGTCTGTGCGTGTGTGCGCCCGTGCGTCTGTGCGTCTGCGCGCATGCGCGCGTGCGCGCGTGCGTGTGGGTGTGGGCGTGGGCGTGGGCGTGGGCGTGATCGTTGGCGTGGGCGTGGGCGAGGGCGTGGGCTTGGGCTTGGGCGCGGGCGCAGGTGTGGGCGTGGGCGGAGTGGGTGCGGGCGTGATCGTTGGCGTGGGCGTGGGCGAGGGTGTGGGCTTGGGCTTGGGCGCGGGCGCAGGCGTGGGCGTGGGCGGAGCGTATGCGTGTGCGTTTGCGTGTGGGTGTGCGTGTGCGTGTGCGTGTGCGTGTGCGAGCGCGTGTGCGTGCGCGCGTGCGTGCGCGTGTGCGCGTGCGCGTGCGCGTGCGCGTGCGCGTGCGCATGCGCGTGCGCGTGCGCGTGCGCGTGCGCGTGCGCGTGCGCGTGCGCGTGCGTGTGCATGTGCGCGTGCGCGTGCGCGTGCGTGTGCATGTGCGTGCGCGTGTAAATGTAAGGTTGCGGGTTCGCGTGCGCGTGCGCGCGTGCGCGTGCGCGTGCGCGTGTGCGTGCGCGTGTGCGTGTGCGTGTGCGGGTGTGCGGGTGTGCGGGTGTGCGGGTGTGTGTTCGTGTGCGCGCGCGTGTGCGTGTGCGTGTGTTCGTGCGTGTGCGCGTGTGCGCGTGTGCGCGTGTGCGCGTGTGCGCGTGTGTGCGTGTGCGCGTGTGCGAGTGTGCGCGGTTGCGTGTGTGCGTGTGTGCGTGCGCGCGTGTGTGCGTGTGTGCGTGTATGCGTGGGTGCGTGTGTGCGT